CGGGGGGGGCGGGCGGCGGGGAGGAGGCTGGAGACTACCTTCAAGTGGTTGGGATGCTCTCCTGCCTTCTTGGAAAGCAATTTCCATGCGTGGGTTATGTGTGCTTGATTGCCCAGCAGATGGTATTTCACTAAACAATGCATTGATTCTTCACGTTATGTAGAACATATGGGCTCCTTCTCTGCGTATCAGCTTCATTTGATTATGTGATACTTTTTAACCTGTACTATGCAATAAAAGTAATTTCTGCTGCTAAGGGAGTAAATTACTTTGGGCATTGAAAATACTCTCTTCCGTAATACAATATTAAGGGAGATGTTAAAGGACCCAGTTGTTGTCGAGTGAATGTGAGTGGGATGTCCCCTGGATATTTTGCGGTACGCGGGCCTCTCCCTGCTGTGGCCTCTCCCGTCGCGGAGCACAGGCTCCGGACGCGCAGGCTCAGCGGCCACGGCTCACGGGCCCGGCCGCTCCGCGGCACGTGGGATCCTCCCGGACCGGGGCACGAACCCGCGCCCCCTGCATCGGCAGGCGGACTCTCAACCACTGCGCCACCAGGGAAGCCCCTGCGGTGGCACTCTTCATTGGGTACCCAGGTCACCATTTTAATAAGTGTTTCAAGTCAGCAGCTGGGAAGGTAAGGAACCGGGCTTCTAGAGTAAAGGCCAGAGGGCAGAATCAGCCCTATTGGCCCATTTGAGCACCAGAATGTTCCGCAATGAGCCATCTGCAGCTGTACAGGTGGGCAGACATGGGGCAGGGGTGGAGACCTTCCACTGGGACAGCCAACCTCCGCCACCTCCATTGCATGATTGGGTGGAAAAAGGTGCAGGTACATGGTGGTCTCCAGTGGGAGGCAGAGTACCAATCAAAAGGGAAGCGCCTCAGTTTCCCCATGTCTATGTGGACAAGAGAGATGTGGGAAGAATCCCCCACTTCAAGCAGTTCAGAAATGACAAAGTGGGTGAAACTCAGGGCGGTAAACAGAAGATTCCAGACTAGGTCCTCTCCCCGGTCCCTGGTACAGCCCTAGGACCACACCAGCGGGATGCAGCATCTTTCTGCTGGTAGAGTGACAGAGTCATTTTGATTCAATATTAGTCAGGGAATTGAACAACTCCTTGACACACTGTGCTAAGGCCAAGATGTGCACCATCTGAGTCCAACATCAGCCCAGCCGCTACATTGCTCCTGGAAAGTTCTGTGGTTAATTTTGAAGGAATTACTTTAACAGATTTTGAAAATGGATGCAATTATGAAGGAAATCCATAAATATTGAACAGCTCTCCAGTTACCAATACAAAATAAGACAGAGAAGAGTGGAGGCCGACAAGCTAGGCAAGACTTAAGATGCTTATGCCTTCCTGAGCAATTCTAGAACCCTTGGATTGCCCTGGTTGTCTGGGTTAGTTGTCTTTGGATTTCCAGAAGCCTAGGGAAGTGGACAAGTTAAGAACTGCCCATGACTCAGATAACTGAGGACAGGAGCTCACTGAAGGTCTCCAAGGACCCGTTGTTAATTTCGCCCTCTAGATGGGCAGTGCATGCTATAGGATAAAAGTTCACACTCTGAAACCAGACATTTCTCGATTCGATTTCTGCTTCCAATATGATGAGCTGTGATATCATGGGTGAATTTCTGCATCTTACTGAGCCTCGGTTTCTACAGCTAGGAGGTGGGGCTAAACGACACAACAAATGATAAAACAACTAGTACAGCGCCTGGCGTATAGAAATGACCGCATGAACACACAGAACCAACACATGCAAATAGCCCTAGGAGTCAGTGCAAGTTTACAGCTGGGTCAAGGGGTCGGAGTCCCAAATTATGGAATATGCTTTGATAGCCACAGAATCTTTCAATTATATAGATATATCATCATATGGAGTAAGGAAAGAGAAGGAAATATTTGTAGGATTTCTACCTCGCACCTGATATTTTATGCTAGGTGATTTACACATCTTATTTTATTCCACCCATGGCTACCATCCTTCTGGGTAGTTTCATCATCATCCTATTATATCCATTCTAGAGATGGAAGCTAGGGAGTAGCTCACAGATTTCAGTAGCTTGCCTGAGGTCACCCAGCCAGTGCCTGACAGGATTCAAGCTTAAATGATTAGGCTTCAAAATCTGCACCCTTCCTAGCCCCGTGGGACAGTTTCCCCGCCCGCTTAGCGATGCCGCAATAGAGATGCAGCCAGGAGGAGGGGCCGGTAACCCACGGGAACGTCCCTCTGCATCTAGGTAGCCTGCAGCCCCAGCCTGATTCCAAGAGAGTCCTGTCACCGCCTGGGACCCAAGCCCACTCCATGCAACTTATACCATACCATGTCCCAGCAGGAGCCACCGGCCCATGCGAGATGCTAATTCTTGCCTGTACCTAGCCAGATGTTTCTACTGCTCTAAACCACAGGTCACCTCTTTGCAGTCTGATTCAGAAAGACCCACATCTGTGCTCACTTAGACTAGAGTGGGTCTGTCGCTGACTGCCGGGCCAGAATCACTGAAGTCAACTGAACAGCCAGGGCAAAAGTATGGTTTCTTTGAACTTCCCATCTTCATTAGGATAGGAGGCTTTGGGGTGACAGCTAGGGTCACAGATGGCAGCATGAGTGGCTGAGGACCACTGACTCACCCTCTGATGAAGCAGGGTTCTCCTCACATTGGGTTTGTAGTCAGCCTCATGTGTTCCCATGAACAGGGCTCTGATCCTTCATCCCAGGTGTCAGTGGGTGAAAAACACTAGCTGAGCCTTGGCCCTGGCTTCTGACTGCAAGCCACATTGCCATGTACTCACTGGAGCTGACGATTATAACGAAGGTAAAAGGCCTTGGTTCAACCTCACCTCTCCAAAAAAAAAAAAAAAAAAAAAGCCAAGTGCCTTAATCCCAGTTAATTTGCAAATCATTCTTTTCTCCTTTGCTCTGTTTCTCTGTATCGATCCTTACCATTGAGTGAAAATGTGAAACAGACATTTGCCAACACCTCATAGCTCAAGTCACTTTAAACTTTAAAGGAGAACTCAATCCTAGGCCTTTTTCACTCTCTCAGTAAAAACTGGTCACCACGTCAGCCCTGAGCTAACCCTCTCTTCCCTCATGTAGCCCTGGAAATCAGACAGAAAGAAAAGGCCACTATGGAAAAACTCCCACCGTGGCCCGTGAGCAATGGGTCGAGCAGAGCAGCATTACCTTTATTCTCTCTTGTCAGTTTGTCGGCCATGTCCCAGTGTTCGTAGCCCCGTAACACGTTACTAGTGATGTTGACGTGGCTGGCGGCCATGTGGTGAATGCGCTGGGGGATGGTGACCGGGCCGTTGTTACAGTTCCCCATTGCGTTGATGGGAGACACGTTGTTGAGAGACACTGGGGATGGAGTGTTTCTGGGGGATGGGAAGAGACAGGCTTTGTTAGGCTGCTCGGGAAGAGCGGCAGCGGCGTTCTAGGCCTCCCTCATCACACTGGGACCTCATGAGGACGTGACTTGCCACAGTGAGTTTTAGCATATGGTGAACATATATGAAGCTTGCTCTTGTATCCCACAGACTCCTCTCAGAGGACATCCTATAGCTTTTGCCAGCACAGTAGCTTTCTCCAGAGGCCCCAGCGTAGAGAGAACTTATTATCACCCTGTTCCTGCCTCATTAGGCCAACCCACACAGGGCCACAGGGCCAGGCTGTAGGAGGAGCCATCCTTATCCTTTCCTAACTTTAAACACTGAAGTCTGACTGCCTTTGGCAACCACTGATGACTCCATGCACATCGCTACTTTGTTTTAAAATACCACACAGAGAGCTGGGTGAATCTTTCCCTGGCATTAATTCGACCCACAAATGTAGCTCTTACTTTGAATACATCTAACAAGTCTTCTGATGTTCCAGAGGAAGCATCAGCTCAGAGCTATGATGATTTCTCTACCTGCTGCCAGAATGGATACTGGCACTTAGAAAGGACTTGATGTGCAATACCGGTCTCTTATCAAAGTGTTTTGTGGAAACCATGGTGACAGTTTGCTCCAAATACAGTTGCCACAATAAGCAAAGTGCAATCCTGAAAAGCCCCCCAAGGAGCAATACTAAGGAAGCTGGAAAAAGTAAGATTATGAATATCTCTTTAGGATTCTTTTAAGACGTGGCTACAGGATGGCTGTTAATCGCTGGCAGTTCACCTGCACACTGGGTTATAAAGAGAAGTTTTGGGAGTTCCTACTTTGGGCAGTACCAATGTTCGGAGGTAGAGTTTTGTTTAATTCTTTAATGCCAGCAACAAGAAGTCGCCGGCTGGCTGCACGTCGCATGGAGGGTCAGGGACAGTCCCAAAGGCTGGGTGGCTGCCCGTGCCCACGAGCAAGACCTATTATACACACCCCCAGCCCCCCTGTCCTCGTTCAGCCAGCCTTCGAATGACTGCCCATCATGAGGCGCCCTTCTCACACTCCCTCCCCTGTACCAGCCACCTGTTGGCAACTGCCTTTGCAGGGTGGCTGTATTTCTCAGAGCCCATCCCTGCTCCTAGAACAGATGCGCACCCTGACAGGCTGCATACACAGAGGATTTGGGGGAACGGCAGTCACCACGTACCAAAATGCCAAAGCGGGGCTGACTCGGTCTGGGAGCAGCTCAACCCATGCACTCGCATGAGACTCACACGGGCTGTGCCTACAGCCACGGGAGGGCATTGGTCCATTTCCGCAAACAGAGTATGTCTTCTGGTATGTTCTGGCATGAGGGGGAAAGTGGATCCTCTGCGCAAGCGCTCCGCACTCGTGTGATGGGAGAGGGTGTGAAGGTTTTCCTGCTCTGTTTATAATTTCTGAGACGTCTGATACTACTTGATGGAAAGATTTACTTTCAAGGCGGGGTGTGGTCAGGGGAATGGTTAAACTCAGGGACCTGGGCGCAGAAGTGTTAGCAAAAGAAGCAGTGAATGCTAGGTTTTTCTGTCATGGCAGGTTGCAAATGCTACTTTCTAGTCCTTTCCCCCCTCAGTGGTGGTCATTGACCCGTAAATGTCAATTTACGGCCAGAAAGGAAAACGTCCTCATCTGTAATCTCTAGAGAAGATTGCAAAGGTGTCAGTGTCACAAATGTTGAGAGGGGGACCGTGGGGTGCTGGGGAAAGTTCTGGAATCCCAGGGACCGGGACTCTAGCCTGGCCCTGCCTTACATACAATTGCCGTGTGCTCCCGAGACCCCTCCCCTCGCTGGACCTTCCCTGACCTGCAAGAAAAGGCTGGATTCAGTGATTTCCAATCATGTCCAGAAGTCAGAAGGGGAAACAAATCGCCTCCGTTTATCTCCCACATCCCGAAAAGGCCTTTTCAGTTTATAACGTTGAAGAGCCATTGAGGGGCTTTCTTTCCCTTCCACTCGGCACTTTCCTTTAAATAATCAGCGGTGGAGGCGAGGAGAGCGAGGGCATGCGTTCGGTTTTGGTCACGACTGACCTGACACGAGGCTCTGTGAGCTGACCTTGCGCGGAGCACGGCTGCGTACCCTGCACACAGCATCAGATGCGTGAAACCCACAAATCAAAACCTGCCTAGGACACTGGGCCTCTGGCTGAAAGAGGGCTGTTGCCGCGCTCATCTTGGTGTGCCTCCACCCCCAACTTGGCTCTCCCCACAGCTTGGGCTTCGCCGTTCAGTTCTCCCTCTGTGGATCTGCTTCAGATCTGGTGCTTTTCTTCACACGTCCGTGGCACGTGGCCATGAGTGTGTTCACACCAGCACAGGCTTCCGACCACTCACAGCATAAGCACCCTGGGCGTCCACCGTGCTCCCTTGCCTCCCAACCACACTCACCCCCTGCTGTTCCTGGTAATCACGAGTCACGTCCCCGTTGGAGGTGGTGGCGAGCCCTGCGTGTGGAATGCACTTCCCCCAGGGATCTGCACCGCTTGCTCTCCCATCATCCTTCCCTAACGTCCCTATTCAGGATCTTCCTCCCCCATGCCAAGCAGCCCTTTCTATTCCCCCCTCCTTGTTTCGCCTTCCTCTATGACATGTGTTATCTAGCGTATGCACTCCTTTTGTACTGTCTTTCTCTTCCAAAAGAACGTGACCTTGAGCAGGCCCTTGTCTATAGAGCCTTGTCTATTTCATCCAGCGTCATTCCCAGCATCTAGAACAGTGCCTGGTGCACATACTATGTACTTAATACCAGTTAGATAAATGAGTGGATTACCTTCCAGCCATCCCTCTGTTATTATGTAGTATCCACTACACATGAGGTGCTCTGGGGAGGGAAGACGAACAACGTACAGCAGCACATGGAGAGGGTATACGTTTGTAAAGTGCCTGGCAGAGTGTCTCATACACAGCAGGCATGCAATAAATATCTGGTGAATAAAAGAATGAACAGCCCCTTATTGAAACGAGCAAATAGTCTAATGGGGAGGAAAATCCATTAAATTCTGGCAATCTAGGCTAAGTGCCAAAAGTGAAGTGTACACCAAGAGCTGTGGGAGTTCTAGGGGCGAGATCACTTATGTTTTCCAACTCAAAAAGGTAACAATGACAACAAAACATGGCAGTGGCAGTAGCCACCATTTGTTAAAGTTGCTGTGCACCAAGCACAGTGCTCTGGGCTTCACCGATATTGTCTCTAAGCCTTGTGACAACTCTGTGGGTGAGTCTCTGCCACCACTGTTTCGCAGATGGCAAAAGGGCTCAGAGAAATTCAGCTCCTTTTTGAGGGTCACACAGCAAATCGGTCGAAGGGCCAGGATTTGAGAGCAGGTCTGTTTCTCTCCAACGTCCACCCTCCTTCCATTCCATCAAGTTACCTCAAAGTCCTACAGTCCCTCTGCTAAAGGATTCACCTGACTTGGGTGTTCATCTTGACCCTCGCCCTTGAGTCCACATTGGCTCGTTTCTACCACTCTCCCCAAGCTCATGCCATGTTCACGCAGGCACAGCCCCCCCCCCCCCAGTCTTGGGGAGAAGTTTTGCCTGAGGGGAATGTTCCCTCCAGTGACCACCAAACTCCTCACATCTTTTTACTGGCCAATGTCCCAAACATGTGGAGATATCTCTTCCCTTCCAACCCTTTCAATATGGTACCCACGGCCACCTGTCTACTGAAAGCGTTCTTCTAAAGGCCTCAGATGGCCTCGTTCTTTCCTCCTTCCATAGCCTTCCCAGCCTTCTTTTCTTTTTATTCTCTCTGGGTGACATCTGAGACTGCTGCCCCGCCCTTTTAGACTGTCCATAACATGGTTTCCATGACTCTCTGTGGAGGTCAAAAAAGCTGGTGCACCACCTGTTTCTGTATGGCCTGTGAGCTATGAATGGTGTGAAAAGGTGGACGTTTGCAATCAGTTGGGTGAGCGAGAACGCTACCTTTGAACCCCAGTGACGCAAAATGTTATTTTTTCAAAATTCCATTCCTCTCCTGAACAGACTCGCATTATGAAACTTGTACTTAACTGCTATTATATTCTGAATTTCATCAGTAAGATGTTTGTGGAAACTTGTTTTCTCTTACATTACATTCTCTTTACATGACAGCCTCGGTTTTGCCTCTGGGCCGGCAAAGCCCCAAATATGTACTATCTGTGGCCCTTTGCAGAAAAGGTTTGCCGAGCCCTGCTCCACATCGAGCGGATTTTTCTTCTTCCAACTCCTTCACGGTCAGGGTCAGAGAAGCTTTGCTTCTGGAAGGCATCGTGAGAGGTCTGGTGCGGGGCCAGCTGTCATCATTCGCTGGGGGAAGCAGGCTGTAGTGTTGATGGCAGACAAAGAAGCCCTCCCTGACCACCCACGGAGGCCCGCGCTTTTTCTTGGGTGTCTGCAGAACTTTGTTCATACCTGTCACCCAACCCCCCCCCCCCCCCCCCCCCCCCCCCGGGGGGGGGAAGAAAAAAAGCCTCTCGGGCTGGTGAGCGCCGGTCGGCCCCGATCCTCTGTGCGGGAATCTCTCCGCTTTGCCCTCCG